AAAGCACTGTGAAAGCACACTGAAATGGCTATTGAAATGGCATTTTAAGACGTCACATACTGTATATGGAAAGTAGCACTTCACACACACTGACCTTTTGAACAGGAAACATGGATATTTCACTTTTTAGAAGCAGATTCCATTATATGATTTACAACCATATTGATCGGTTATGGTTGGTGTTATTGACATTTATTCAACTTCCATGTCTTTCCTTATTTTCCTATGTCTCCATGGCTACCGAGTTCTATTTATAGGTGAATGGTAGGTCCCGACTGCTCCACTTCCTATGGGGGGTAACTTGAACCCAGACCACCAGCACTCTGACCTCTGACCTCTGTGTTAGTCATTTTTTTTATGCATCCCACACAACAAAAACATAGCCAGATGGATTACTTGATGACTTCTGGTTGGTTGCTTTATTAGATTCCAGAGAAAAATTATGATATTTCAGGTCAAGGTCTGTTGGGATGTAGGTTACAAGTGGAATCGGTTTGCTACTAGCTGTGCTCTTTTATTTATTTTTCTCCAGATACCACTATATACGTTTCCCATCATTCTCTGTTGTATCACAAAAAAATGTAATTTCACTACTGTTTGTGGCAGAAAGCGATTCCATGTGAAAAAGAATGGCGCTATAGAGCAAATAAAACACATTGATTGATATGAGTCGATTCTGGTTTATTTTGTACTTGAGTCTCAGATTCGCTCATTGACAAATACATGTCTAATTTATTTGCTCAATGGAAAGGTGCATAGGCCTGCATATCTGCAAAGGACTGCCGCCATTACATTACAGTTGTCGGTGTGGTCGGTCAGACGCCAGCAAGACATCAACACAGGATTCTTAAGACTCGGAGACGTAAACTGTTAGTAGGAATCTGGGGCGGTCACCTCTTTTAGTAGCCCGGCTTTTCCAATAGAAAGTCCTTATGCACAGGTCTAAGATCAGCTTAGTACTTTCTCCGAACCCTAACATTAACCATTAAAGTAAACCCAAAACCGACCTTAGATCAATGTCAAGGGACTATTCCGTCCCACTCCGAGTGACAGACAGGGGATGCTTTCATCAACAAAGAGCGCGCAAATCTCCCTACTCCACCGCGAGAATACTGCATTGGCACCTGCTACTTTACTCCAGTTGGGCATTCCACACGTCCGTTAGACTGATGGGCCTGCCCAATCTTTTGTCTGATTGGTTAGAATTTGTGACAATTGGGATCTCTCGATATCCCATTTGTTGTCGCCTGCAGCTGTGCCAGTGAAGGGGTGGGACGGGATCGTCTCATTCAATGGGCGGGGATTCACAGCAGTTGTAGATTTTCATTCGAAGACTCTATTCTTAAGGCGGGACATAAATTGACGTTCTTTTTTTATTGGTGTACAGACAGGAAGCGCTTGTGCTGCACTGAAGCCGGCGCTTTGCCCTCACCCTTCTGTCTGTCTGTTTTATGATCAGTAGAATGTGTGTGTGCGGCTTCGACTGAGAGAGCGGTGAATGATAAAAGCCGCATTTGCGGTACACTCCTCGCACCTCATATAAGTCAGGAAAAAACGGAGAAACCGCCTTATTTCATTCTTCTTCGAGCCCTAGACTTATCCACGTCTCTGAGAACATTGTGAAGGTGAGATATTTAGTTACCAATAGCCAACTCTAATTCAGTCGTAGATAGTCTAATATCCTGCACGGCGACGTATCATATTTCATTAGTGTTGGCTACTTGCTAACCTAGCTAGGTTAGTCTAAATGCGGGTGGCATAACACCGAAAATTACACCCGATAGGGGACCTTCCAGCGGCGTGCAGCCTGGCCCTCCGGTTAGCATGCAGGCCCAGGAATGGTACAAAACGATCACACAGCAAACCGACAATATTGTAAGCTGTTAGACAAGAGAATGCAAGCAGTTGTATATAAGTTGCTTTATTAAGGGTTTATTATAAGGCTATTATTATAACGCTATTAGGTCTTCTTATCCGTAAACTATTCGTATTATTAACCTATTATTATTAGTAATATTCTTAATATTCTTATTAGGTTATTATTTAACCCACATTAGTGACTGACCACCCCAAAGCTAGCTACAAGGCTAAATGATATGCGCTCTCTATAATGTGGTCCATTGAGTCTATCATTAGGTTAAATGCAATAATGAATCCTCTAATCATTATTCATACATCATGCTCGAGGTGTGGTTGGCGTTTGGCTTCATGGCTTTGTCGGGTGGTATGGTGTTGCAGGTTGTAGAATGGGAATCTTTCGTATAGCTCCCGTTAGCGGACGCACTAATATTTTGGCCGGGGGAGCTTGCTAGTGTGTCTGTCTGCCTGTGACAGTTTCAGGCGGTGGTTGGGTCACAATGTCACCGCTGCCTCAACACTTGGCTTTTCTCCTCAAATTTAAGCGTAAAGAAAAGGCGTTACCATGCGCCCCCACCACACACACACACACACACACACACACACAGCCACACACACACATCCCTCCCGCACCCCCGCATTG